CAAGTGGGATGGTTTCCATAGTTCCTATGTTCATAACGGATTCCTGAAAATGTTAATGCAAACTCAGTGTGTTAGATAAAAGACATTGATTTGAAAAGGTAAGTTTATTATTTTTTATCATCCAAAATAGGCTCCCACAGAAGATATCACTTGGGTGAGATCAAGCGATATCTACATTGTAGATATCGCTGAAATGAAATTGAATCACAATGCTGTGCAGACCATTGTGACGTTATTGGTTACCATGACGTCACAATGAAATGACATCACTAATGACCATGCTACTGGAGCTGTTAGCAGTACTTTTTACGCTTAAAACACTGCTTATTACTGTATACAAACTGAAAAAGGTGGAAGAATGCTGTTGGATGATAAATAAAATCTCACCCTCGTGTCTTTTGACATCAAATATATCAACACTCATTGATATATTTAATATCAAAAGACACTTTGGTGAGATTCTCTATGTATTACTACCTTTGAATTAAACTTTCTATAAACTATAAGCGCCGTCTGGAAATTGTATGCAAACTAATTAAGTTAGGGTACCTTATTATTAACTGTCTGTTACTTATTCGGCCCTATTACCGTTTATTATCAACGTATCGATTTTGTTTGTTAATTGCGACTTCATACGTCAGGGGACATAGGTGTTAGAGTGTACCTAGATAAAACAAGCCAATGTGCTTAGCTTGTGCAATATTTCCCTTGGGCGAAACGTTGTGAGTAATTTATCGTGATGGTTTTTGGTTTGTTGTTTTACGCCGCACTCAGCAATATTCCAGCTTTATGACAGCGGTCTGTAAATAATCCAGTGATTTACATCATGAACATCGATCCACGCAATTGGGATCGATGCCATGCATCAACCAAGTCAGCGAGCCTGACTACCCGATCCCATTAGTCGCCTGTTACGACAAGCATAGTCGCCTTTTACGGCAAGCATTGGTTGCTGAAGACCTATTCTACCCCGAATCTTATCGTGATGAGAGCAGTTTATTTATCAATAGCAAAGATATATAGATCATATAATTCTGTCCGCAATGGACAGTAAAACAACTACAGTAACACAGATTTGTATTTAAAATTAGTGAGTGAGTATGGTTTTACGCCGCTTTTAGCAATATTCCAGCAATATCACGGCGGGGGACACCAGAAATGGGCTTCACACATTGTACCCATGTCGGGAATCGAGCCCGAGTCTTCGGCGTGACGAGCTAATGCTTTAACCGCTAGGCTACCCGACCGCCCGTATTTAAAATTAGCATGTAACCATGAAATATGACTATTCAAAACAAAACATTAGAACAAACGGGCTATAGATGACCAGCAACCAAAGTTAGGCTAACATATTAAGGACCATGGGTATCTGGACCGCCTCCGTGGTCTTGTGGTAGAGCGTCCGCCCGGAGAGCGGAAGGTCCAGGGTTCGATCCCGGGCCGCGTCATACAAAAAGACGTTAAAAGATTGTACTTGTTGTTACCCTGTCTGGCGCTCGGCATTAAGGGGCTAAAACAAGGACTGGTCGGCTCGGAGTCAGTATACTGTGTCTGAGTGGGGTATTCATGTTAAACTGCGGCATGGTATCTCAGTGAGCTAGCACTATAAATCGGCATCAGTCCGGACTAGTACAAGCAGCCACACACACACATACACGTGCATGCACGTCGCTATATAAGTGCAATAATCTTAGACGCGACGTTAAACCCAATTTCACCTCACCTCACCATGGGTATCTAAGGTACATGTAACTACAAAATCATTTTTGAATTATGTATTTTGGCAACATCGGGCATTGAGTTAGCAGGTCATATTGCTGAAATGAGACACGCGAGACGGCCGTGACACACTGTAACAAATATGACAGTGATCTGATTTCGGTTAGTGCAGATCGAAATCTGCCATTACTTACATTGAAGTACAATCTGGTTGAAATTGTTGTCCTCTCTCTTAGTTATTATTTATTTTGTTACAGATTTTTAGATATGATTTTAGTTAAATCCGAAAATCGCAATGAGCCTTGATATCTATTACTACTGCAAATTACTTTAGCAGTAATAAGTCTTTAAACATAGAAATATCATCATTGTCAATGGTTTTCGTTCCGCAAAATCGTACAATTTAATTCCCATTAAATCATGCTTTGAATATTTCAGCATTTCTATGAAGAGACATGATCCATTCAGTAATGCATTTCCTCATCCTTTGAAAATGACCTGAGAAGGAAGTGATTTACTGAAATATTTTGATAGATCGAATTTTTTAAAAATCTCAGTTGATATAAGAAAATTATTGATTCAGAATTATTACAACATACGTTATTCACTGATAGTAGAAGCTTATTGATATACATTTTAGTGTTAAAAACGATTATAGGTTATTTGAATTAATCTATTGGAAATAATAGCAAGATTTTTATGAACTCAGAGTAACATGGTCAAGTATTTATATAATTTACAATCTAATTAATAATTATTCCAACCAATTATTTATTTGATGCCTTATTAAAGTCAGATTAATATGATTTCATTACAGAACTAACAAACAAACACTAAATGATTCATGTTACAACACCAACCACATAAGGATGAGAATTGATGGATGTCAGCCTCCTTATTATGATCAATACAAGGTTGTTAACATCCATTAATTCTCTTGCTTATGAGATATTTGTTTTAATTTACATGTTTAGTTGTTAACAGTAATAATTCTTGAAAATTCTTTTCAATAAAAGATCACATATGAATTTAAATTTGTGTTATATATTTTATTAATGCAAGTTAATTGATGATAAGTACTTCAGACCCTCTCTTCAGATAATTCTGCCACCCCAGGTTATGGAATATGGATCCGATTGATTACCATGGCAATCGCAGCTGCTTGTTTCATCTTGGATCCTCTCAATGTTTTCCACTGTTGTCACATACATGTATCTAAGTTTATCTGGCAGTTTATTATGTCCAATATTCTGGAAGTGTGACCAGGGATTTGTATCTAAATTTAGAATTTCAACCTAAGTGACCTTGGCAAACAGATTGGGTAAAAAACTTATAACTTTTAATTTCCTTAAAATCTGAGTTATTTTAAGATGGCATAGATATGTTAAAACTATTGGAGAGAGAACGTTTACTGACATCTGATGCAGATTTGGGGCTGAATGTCAGCCTCTGAGCAAGTCTAGCTTTATCCCTGGTGACATGCCCAACCTCATGTCCCAGATGCCCATATAAAATATAGGTTATGATTTATTTATTATACACTAAAAACCAATGTGGCAGTGAGGGGGAATAATGCATGGGCGGATACAGAGGTGTGTGTGAGTGTGTGTGTGTGTGTGTGGGGGGGGGGGGGGGGGTGGGGGTGCGCACCCCCCACCCCCCTTTTTTATTTCGAAAAAAATCTTTATTTCTGTATAAATTACCACCAATGACAATAAATAGATCTTAATTGTGCACACACCCCTCCCACCCACCCCTGGCGAATAGCCAGTGGTTGTCCCCCCTAACGCCTAAAACGAGGACGGCCGCTTGTGGGCGGGGCTTATCGATCGGGACTGGATCTATTACACACAATGTTTAAGGTTCACATGAGTTCACATTCAAAGTTGACGTCATATTTGACTCCTGCCTCTTCGTGCGTGTACGGCCTCAACAATGGCATGCGTTTTCGCAATTAGAGGATATATAATATTCATGTTAATGACGTGAGTTATTTTATGAGTGTCGTTATTTGAGTGTTTCTTTCGTGGGAATGCCAATATTGTCAAAGAATGTCAATTTTACAGTGCCTATGTTAAATCGTAATGAGACAACGTCAATACATATTGTAACGCTTGTACGCTCATCGCGTTGATCGCCTCGGTACATGTGAAGGTAAGTAAGTACATGGATGTTGCTTAACAAAGAGTTTGCATCACTGAGAAGGTTACCAACCAGAAACGATTCCAAGAATCTGTTGTTCCTCTTTGAAGGGGGCGGTCGGGTAGCCTAGTGGTTAAAGTGTTCACTCGTCACGCCGAACACCCGGGTTCGATTTCCCACATGGGTACAATGTGTGAAGCGCATTTCGGGTGTTCCCCGACATGATATTGGTGGAATATTGCTAAAAGCGGCGTAAACAATACTCACTCACTCACTCTTCGATTGAGCACTCGGCAATATGATGTATGGATGAACAACGTCTTTCTTACAATTAGAAGCGACGTTTCGCTTGCTTGATAACGGTTTTAGAACCTACACCGAAAGGTTGCTCCTAATTGTAATAAGGAAGTTCTTCATCCATATATCTTATCCTTACTACCACAACCTAGCTATACGACGGCTGTCGGTAAGTCATTGAGACTGGACGAGACAATCCAGTGATTGACATCACTCGGGTACAATGTGTGAAGCCCATTTCTGGCGTCCCCCATCCGTTATATTGCTGGAATATTGCTAAAAAAATCGGCCTAAAACCATACCTACTCACTCACTCCAGTGATTGGAGATGGGGTGGTTGGGCTGATAGTGCGCCATCATACCTCGACGACGTGGGGGTTTTCACAGTATCAACCATTAGATAATTAGCCAGGCTCGAAAGTCTATAACAGACAGTCGTCCTATAGCTGGAGGAGTGCTCACTGCAGTGTGAAACAACAGCAAAACCATAAACACATCCTAATGATAATGGAGCAATGAACAACATTCGAGTGTTCTGACACTGATAGTTGATTCGTTTTCAATCCATTCAGATCCAATTCATTAGATCCAAAGCTAAATCCAATGAATCATGATTCATATATAACAAAACGATGACACCATTTTAGAACTTTATTGTGGTAAAAGGTTGTTCGAACAAGCCAAGAACACGTGTATTGATGACCAAATATTAAGCAATTACAGAGAATGAATATTTGAATTTTCGAAAACAATGTAGGTGTATTCTTTTTTTTGTAGGCCAACACAGCATTGCTAAAACCGAAAAGACACTGATGAACTAAAAACTAAATGTTGATGAGGTCTTGGTCTACATGGTTGCTACAATCTAAATTGCACCGAAAAGAATTTAGAAGGAAAAGAATCCTTGGACATTAAGGACTTAGTTTTATTGCCCCACTTGAAACGAAATAAAAATTAAAATGTCAAAGGAAAAAAAAAAAAGAAAAAAAAAAATGTTGACGAGGTAGTTTCAGGGGCAGATCCCTATAAGGACTGAACCAAAGCTATAAGGACTGAATCAAAGCTATAAGGACTGAATCAAAGCTATAAGGACTGAATCAAAGCTATAAGGACTGAATCAAACCTGAGCTTGCTTACCATGTGTTCATCAGTGCATATTTCTGAATGTGATTTAATAATCATATCTTTATAAAACAATTTTTTAAACAGGTAATATGACTCGGGAGGTGAATAGTCTGTGTGGTACATGGTCCGCTGATTGTCATATCATGTGTGTGCATATCCGTTGCTCTGCATAGTCCATCTCAGCATCACGCCATGAACGAAGCTGCCACTGAAATTAAATGTCAGTTCCTATATCTGGTGTTACTTTGACACATTGACATCAAAGATTTGCTGGTCTGTGAAAGGCATTTAGAAGTGATACCCATAAGGAAGAGTGAGTGAGTAACAGATCACTCACTACACACATGCAGTGAGTGTATGAGAAAGCCATACTCGTGTTTAATACCAATTTGTTTAGAAGTATGTCAATCGATTTGAGTGTGTGAGTTGTATCTAACACCGCTTTTAAGAGTATTCCAGTTATATCGCGGCGTGTCAGCTTAATGTGGGAGGAAAGCCCGAAGTGATGCAGGTCTCAGACGTTTACCACTTCGGTCACATAAGGAAGAGAATATATGGATGTCAACTTCTTTATTATGAGGAACACAACGTTTCGGAGTATTTGCTTACTCCTTCATCAGGTGAACTACCCCGTTTGCCCAGTGTCCATTACCAATTACTTATCTATGATAACTTAAGTGTTGGCTTCCATTGTCTATTGCTAATCACCTATTAGCGCCAATCATCTGTTGGCTTCCTTTCTTAGCTTCTACCCTTTGTTATTTACTACATTTTGTTATAGTATTAATTTTGTTGTTCTTACATGTACATATATATGCTCCCTGCCTCACTGCATTTATTCACCTGATGAAGGAGTAAACTCCGAAACGTTGTGTTCCTCATAATAAAGAAGTTGACATCCATATATTCTCTCCCTTAAAACATTGTCTTTGGTTAAAACATTATGATGTCACGCTATTGTTTTCTCGCTTGTTTCTGAGCCTTAAATTCACTGGCCATTCTGAACGGGCATTTTTGGCAAGTAAGACTGGTCATTGTGGAAAGTTATAGAAAAATAATATTTCAACTATAACACGGTTAAAGACGGAGAAATCACTCGAATCTTCGGGGCTCATTGATTCTACTTTCGAAATCAAAAGACTCATGATTTCGCTTTTACAGACACAAACTTGCTTGTTAAATTTGGTTTGGTTGGTTTGTTGTTTTACGCCGCACTCAGCAATATTCCAGCTATATGACGGGGGACTTGTTAAATATAAGCAACACACCCCTTTCCACATTCACAAGAAATCAGAGTCCATTATGCGATTCCAACCATACGCATGCATATATGAATCACTATCAAACAGTGATACCAAGTGTTTGCTAAAAGTCACAAACACATGCAAAGACAAGTCAACTGTTCTCTAAAAATACACGTGAACATATTGTACAGACACAATAGGGAATTGCATCTGACATGGCATTATAATCCTATCCTTATTGCCAGAAAATAATTATTTTCTTATACAGGTAAACAATGTAACCGTGTCTCAGCTTAGAAGTTGATATGTTTTCTCTTTAACGCTACACATCGTGAAATACTAATTTACAGCCTTTAATATTACGAGTATCTCAAATAATTGCGCTTATACATTTTTGCGAACATATAAAAATTCATACTTACATAAACCTGCGTTTGAGCCTGAAATGAAATTATGGAATTGTTAACCAACAAACTCTATCAATTACAAAAAATTACAGAATGATATACTACTATTACAGAATACTACAACCCTGTTATTGTATTTGTTATTTATTACGCTTGAAGCCTGTTGAGGACAAGTATTCCAAAATGGAAGTAAATTACCTGAACATATTATCCTAACACATAGTGATATGAATTAAATCTTCACTCACTGACCCAAACTCACTCACTCACTCACTGACCCAAAACTCACTCACTCAAAACTCACTCACTCACCCAAAACTTACTCACTCACTGACCCAAAACTCACTCACTCACTCACTCACTCACTCACTCTACATATATGCAATACAATCCTTCTCATAGACAAATAAGATTTTCATAAAACTATATGACATGCATTTCACAAATTAATAAATGAGAGGAATTGCATAAAAGAACGCTTTGTGACAGAACAAACACTTCGTAAAACAAAGTTACCTCGCTTCCAAGTCGTCGACATCATTTGGATAATCAAACCGCTGGATAAGATAAGGAAAGGTGTGTTATCAATACCCAAGGGGCAGGCGTTATGCGTTTACATTGGTAAATGTACTGTAAACACAATATCATACATAGGCATACTTAACAGATTGGGGTAAAGGATTATATGGAACGATAGGGAAAGCAGATCACAAAGAGACGATATAGTGTTATATTCAGAGGGGACGCATCTAGTACCGACTATTGTATGAGCATGCACACAAAAGCATTTCATCAAAAAGGTATAACGTTAGCATACATGTATATTGTATTAGTAGCATCATCATATTCAGTGAAACCTCGATAGTAACCCGTTTGTCCTGAAACCTCATCTTTCGGCCAAATTGGGAACAGACTTACATATTTTAATACTTGCGACAAAACGCTTTCCATAATATTTGTTTGTTTGTTGTTTAACGCCGCATTTAGCAATATTCCAGCTATATGACGGCGGTCTACAACTAATCGAGTCTGGACCACACAATCAAGTGACTGACATCATGAGCATCGATCCTCGCAATTGGGATACGATGACATGCATCAACCAAGTCAGACAGCTTGACCAGCCGACCCCGTTAGTTGCCTCTTATGACAAGCATAGTCGCCTCATGTGGCAAGCATGGGTTGCTGAAGAACTATTCTAAACCAGAACTGCACGGATCACAATTCGTTGTGAAAGTAAATTATCAAATATGTTCATGTAAAAGATAACTAGACTTTCATTTCAACACTTGCATGATTGCGTCACATGACAATAGTAACTACTAAGACAGGATAACATATGTCACAAAGGGTACTTAGGGTGGTTTCAGTTGAACAACCTGATTTTTCTTATGTCTGTTTGTTTGTTTGTTGTTTAACGCCGCACTCAGCAATATTCCAGCTATATGACGGCGGTCTGTAAAATAATCGAGTTTGGACCAGACAATCCAGTGATTGACATCATGAGCATCGATCCACGCTATTGGGATCGATGACATGCATCAACCAAGTCAGCGAGCCTGACCACCCGATCCCGTTAGTCGCCTTTTACGACAAGCATAGTCGCCTTTTATGGCAAGTATGGGTTGCTGAAGACCTATTCTACCCCGGAATCTTGACGGGTCGATGTTTCTTATGATACAGGTGAGTGGGCGAGTATGGTTTTACCCCGCTATTAGCAATATTGAAGCAATATCACGACAGGGGACACCAGAAATGGGCCATGTTTCCATTTGTACCAATGTGTGGAATCGAACCCGTGTCTTCGACGTGGCCAGGGAACGCTTTAACCACTAGGCTACCACCGCCCCTCTCACAGTAGTACACATGTGTGATATTTGAAGTGTGTAAAACTTGACATTCCACAAATCGACCTTTTCCTTTAATTGTAGCAATAATTATGTGTTTTATCATGTCAGTCCAAATCTTGCAAGTGTAAGAAAGAAAAAAGCCAGTTAGCAAAATGAACATATTTGATAATGTTTAAACCAATGCTTCAGAGGGTTTATATTAATTGTAAAAATTGCCATTTCCAGTTAGCCATAAAGCTTAAGGTCCCTTATTTCCCCCTTTGCTACACAGACGAAACCAGTAGAAACGGTACCGTCCGCATTAACGAGGTTTTACTGTATACCAGGAATACAATCTAAAGCATAGAAATCATGAAAGATGGCATAGACAGCTAATTGACCATGGATACTGACTGTTAATAGCACAATGTTTTATAAATAAAGCGGCAAAACCCTTTCCATAGCCAATAGAAATCTGCAAGAAGCAGAGTCGATGGTACTATTCCGAATACGTCATGAGCATAGTTTATGAATCACTATTAAAAAGTGATAAAATGTGTTCGCGAAAAGGTGAGCGTTTTCTGCCCCACCGGTGGCAGAATTCTACGGAATTGATAGCATGGATGCAATGTCCTATATGTGGGACTGATTTCGAACATTATTACTTGTGAGTGACCATATTTGGAACTGCACACTGAGGTGTTTACAATAACTTCTTTGGGGACGTCATAGGAAATGTCAATCCGGTAGGGGCCATATTTGGAACAATTCCTGACATTAGATTATAATAATTTAAGCAGGTCTTTCATACAAATATTGGCATCAGTCAATTCAGGCCTCAATGTCCAGGGAGGGAGTAAGTTTTTACGCCGCTTTTATCACGTAATACCAAGGCGGGGGCACCAGAAATGGGCTTCACACATTGTACCCATATTGGGAATCTAACCAGGGTCTTCGCGCTTGACCAGCGAACGCTTTAACCACTTGGCTACACCACCGCCCCACCAATGTTAAGAGGTGTATATAAACTGCGGTTTGCAAGGTCATAAGCAATATTTGTTGAAGTGCGATGAGGTGAAATGGGGTTTAATGCGCGTCCAAGTTTCATGCACTTATATAGCGACGTACATGCACGTGTGTGTGTGTGCTTGTACTAGTCCGGACTGATGCCGATTTATAGTGCTAGCCCACTGAGATACCATGTCGTAGTTTAACACGAATACCTCACTCAGACACAGTATACTGACTCCGAGCCGACCAGTGCTTGTTTTAGCCCTGTTATGTCGATCGCCAGACAGGGTAACAACAAGTACCATCATTTAACGTCTTTTGGTATGAAGCGGCCGGGGATCGAACCCCGCACCTTCCGCTCTCCAGACGGACGCTCTACCACTAGACCACGGAGGCGGTCGTTTGTTGAGGTAGTTGAATCGATTGCACGGTTCTTTGTCGAATTGTTTGTAAACCAAGAATTCCAAAATGGACACATTTATGTGTCACGCTACAAGACGACCCCCTCGGTGGTAGAGTGAACAGAGCACAGAGCAACAGTGTGGAAGGTCGGTAGTTCGATCCCCTGGCCGCGTCATACCAAACGACATTAAGAAGGTACTTGTTGTTACCGTGCCTGGCCCTCGGCCTTATGGAGATTAAACAAGTACTCGTCGGCTCGGAGTCAGTATACTGTGTGTGAATGGGGTATCAATGTTACACTGCGGCCAGCACTATACAACCAGCATAAGTCCGGACTAGTGCAAGCATTAGCACACACACACGTGCATGCAAGTCACTATAAGTGCGATCATCCTGAACGGGACGTCTTAAACCGTTTAAACCGTCTTAAATATGTTTAATGCCTGCCATATAATAATAATAATAATAATAATAATAATAATGATGATGATGATGATAATATGATGATGATGATGATAATAATAATGATGATGATGATGATAATAATAATAATAATATGATGATGATGATGATGATGATGATGATGATGATGATGATGATGATGTACTCACCCGTTCCTCCGAGGCCGAATGGGTCGTTGGAATTGGGTCCAGCCCCCGCCGGAAGCACGGGATCAAAAACAGCAGTGGACCAGGAGTTGGATACCCGGGGTGTGGGCTGGGTGTTACCGAACAGTGCTGACAGGAACCCTCCGGCTGGGCTACCTGCTGCGCCTCCACGCGCATTGGCTGGAATATAAAGAGTGAGTGAGTGACTTGGATTCAGCACCACTTTGAACACGATCTCATTTACATCGTAGCAGGTCAGGTTCATAAGAGATTTGCTTGATTGATCGTTGTTTAACGCCGCACTCAGCAGTATTCCAGCTATATGACGACGGTCTGTAAATAATCGAGTCTGGACCAGACATATCATGAGCATCGATCCACGCAATTGGGATCGATGACATGCATCAACCAAGTCAGCGAGCCTGACCACCCGATCCTGTTAGTCGCCTCTTCCGACAAGCATAGTCACCTTTTACGGCAAGCATGGGTTGCTGAAGACCTATTCTACCCCGGATCTTCACGGGTCTCATAAGAGAGGAAAGACCGAAGTGATGTAGGTCTCAGGCCTTTGCCGCTATGTTGAAACCAATGAGCAGGGTTATGGGGTTTGGCAAACCTAGAAAGGTAGTCGGGGCTAACCGGGATTCGAAACAAATTCAGAATCTGGAATTCAAACCACCGATCAAAGATTAATGGAACATCTGAGGGAATTTTGGGGGGTGAGTGAGTGAGTGAGTTGGGTGAAACACCGCTTTGAACACAATTTCAGTCATATCACGACCCGTGAAGATCCGGGGTAGAATAGGTCTTCAGCAACCAATGCTTGCCGTAAAAGGCGACTATGCTTGTCGTAAGAGGCGACTAACGGGATCGGGTGGTCAGGTTGCTGACTTGGTTGATGCATGTCATCGTATCCCAATTTTGTGTATCGATGTTCATGATGTAAATCACCCGATTATTTAGAAGCGGCCTTCATATAGCTAGAATATTGCTGAGTGCGGCGTCAAAACAACGAACAAACAAACAGTCATGTCACTGCGTGCCATCTTATTGTTGGAGGAAAGTCCGAAGTGATGCACGTCTTAGATGATTTCCATTTTGGTGAAACTCGCGAACATGGCATGGTTCTGGTTTTGGACTAGCACCGAGGCAGCAAAGACACTCACAAATACTATTTACTATTAATGTAACATTACTGTTATCGTATCCTAATTGTGTAGATCAAGGCTCACGATGGCAATCACTGGATTGTCTGGTCCAGATCCAGACCGCCGTCATATAGCTGGAGTACGGCGTTAGACAACAATAATGCAGCATCACACCGCACGAATGACTTTTTAATCCGGAAATGTGTTCTTGTGGATGACAATCTACACCCAAGAACGACACAGTCCGGTTTAACGAGGTTTGGCTGTATAAACCGTACAAACCTGCTGGGGGGTCGGGCATGTCGATGCCGAGGGCGTTCATCATCAACATCGTCATTGGATTACCCATCATGCTCATCATGTTGTTTCCTGAAGAAAGGAAACATTCCGAATATAGAATTGGACAGGGACTACACTAAGGCAAGTTTGCGGGAACACCTGGTGTCATCACTATTTGATAGTGATTCATAAACACCTGGTGTCATCACTATTTGATAGTGATTCATAAACACATGCTCATGATATAGTCTGAATCGAACAATCGACTCTAGATTTCTATTGGATATGGAAAGGGTTTTGTCGTTTTATTTAAATAATGTCATGATGTGAATTATGACTTTTATCTACTCAATAAAAACAAGACCATTGATATAATTATACGTGAAATATTACTTTTTTAGTCGGAGTCGGACAATATCTTTTTGCGATTATGGTTAGATTTAGTTTCTTTCATTTTACACATTCAACTAAAATAGCAAGCCATTGAGATATAGTGAATAACACATCTTCCAGTTTCACCTTCACGACAATTCAAGGTTAATAAAAGCGCAAGAGTATTCAGAACTACCTCCCATAGATCCAGCTCCTCCCATGGCTCCTCCCATGGAGCTTCCCATGGCTCCTCCCATGGCTCCTCCCATTGATCCTCCCATGGCTCCTCCCATTGACCCTCCCATGGCTCCTCCCATGGCTCCTCCCATGGATCCCATGGCTCCTCCCATGGATCCCATGCCTCCGGCACCACCTGTGCTTCCACTCCCTGCTGCACCTCCACTCATCCCTGGCATCATAGACATCATGGCCATTGCGGCACCTAAGCCCTCTCCTCCCCCTAAGAGACTAGCCATACCACCCATACCACCCATACCACCCATACCACCCATACCACCCATACCACCCATACCACCCATGCCGCCCATACCACCCGCACCCCCCAAACCACTCATGCCACCCATACCACCCATGCCAGACAAACCACCAATACCAGACATCCCACCCATACCAGACATCCCACCCATACCAGCCAAACCGCTCATGCCAGCCAAACCGCCCATACCAGCCATACCAGCCATACCAGCCATACCACCCATTCCTCCCATACCACCCATTCCTCCCATACCACCGCGTCCGCGAGCTGAATAAAAAAGTAAAATATAAATTTAAGCACATGTAATAAGGTTGTTCACAAAATACATTTCACATTCGTTAATAAATAATTGCATAACTAGGCTCAAAGTAAAGGAGTTTATAAAATTAAATTTAATATTTGAAATGCGCAATGTGGTTGTTCATGATTTTCCTTAATTGACGCATGACGTCCTCATGACTTCGCCTCGAAGAGCTGAAGGGCTGCTGATATGTCGTTAAGCAATACGAACGAACGAACGAACGAACTGATCATATTTGAACAAACATTTTCCATTGTAAATCAGATTGAGAACCGAGCGATTAGTGACTGCACGGGTGATCCACGCCACTGGTCTTGGAATTTGGACAGGTTGAACACCACGTCAAACACACTGTTGTCTTCTCGTGGGCTCCAGATAAGGTATATATCGAAATAAACTTACTGGGGAACTCGATAGGATCTCCTGACATAGCTGACATCATAGCTAGCATGTTGAACATGGACATATCTGAAAAGTGTTTAAATGAAAGATTTAGAAGCAATAATGCATGTTCCGTGCATCTCTAAAGTGCCTTTCGTGAATATGTCAACAGAGATTGAACAAGAGAAACTAATGTGCTGTCTACATAACGTCCTAACCTTACTCCAAAAGCTATAGGACCCGTGAAGATTCCGGGGTAGTATAGATCTTCAGCAACCCATGCTTGCCGTAAAAGGCGACTATGCTTGTCGTAAAAAGCGACTAACGGGATCGGGTGGTCAGGCTCGCTGACTTGGTTGATGCATGTCGTCGATCCCAATTACGTGGATCGATGCTCATGATGTCAATCACTGGATTGTCTTGTCCAGACTCGATTATTTACAGACCGCCGTCATATAGCTGTAATATTGCTGAGTGCGGCGTTAAACAACAAACCAACAACCAACCAAAAGCTATAGTGGTCTAGACAGACTGAAAGTCTCTCCGGATAAAGTGTTATTATCGATTGAGATATCGATTTAATAGTTTCAGTAAAATAATGTATTTCACAGCTGAAGACATAAGGTTTCTTTTCAGTCTTTTAATCAATGAGGTAAATTTCTTATTCTCGAATCCTACAGAGTTTTTGACGATCCTTTAGAAATAATTTACTAAAAGCACGTTGATACATGTGAGCATATTGACCGAAAATGCTTTATGTCACCATAATAAATAATAGTGATATACGTATCCTTTCCCGCCTCAATACTAATGTGTAAAGGGGGCACGGGTGGCCCAGTCGTCTAAGGCGCCGCGATTCGCTGTGCAGAGTTGCGTCCCTTGGGCACGCCAGAAACCTATGATTGTGGGTTCGAATCCCGGTTCGCCCCGATTATGTTTCTAGGTTTGTCAGCACCATACCCGTGCTCGTGGGTTTCACCGAAGTGGTAAACGTCTGAGACCTGCATAACTTCGGGCTTTCCTCCCACTTTAAGCTGACACCCCGTGATATAACTGGAATACTGTTAAAAGCGGCGTTAAACCCAACTCACTCACTAATGTGTAAACGTCAACGCTAGGGAAAAAAATCCTCCGAATCAAATTCTGGACGTAAAAGGTTGAATAGTGGTGGAAATATGATGAATGCATCACTGAAAATCAGTACTGACACCAGGTGTTTACATAAGGTGTTTTCCCCAAGTATCTATCGCAATGAAACTACAGACAAAGGAGAAACGCTACGTCTTATCCTTGATTAATTACACCCGGGCCCAATTGCACAAAGCGATCTTAGCGCTTAGATGATCTTAACTCCCATACTTTAACATAGGCTTACGATGGTCTTAGCGCTAAGATCGTTTTGTGCAAGTGATATGGAGTCTCTGCCAAACACTTGTGTTTCGTGTGAATGCCATCCGTCGACAGTTTGTTTCTTTGTTTGAAACACGTATAATATGTAGATTACCTCCTGTCTCACTTGGTTCAGAGTAGTGACTTTGATTAATACATTGGGGCCTTACAAAATCATTCACCGCAAGTGAGGTGAGGTGAAATGGAGTTTAACGTCGCGTCCAAGATTATTGCACTTATGTAGCGACGTGCATGAGCGTGTGTGTGTTTGTGCCTGTCCGGACTGATGCCGATTTATAGTGCTAGCACACTTAGATACCATGCCACAGTTTAACATGAATACCCCACTCAGACACGGTATACTGACTCCGAGACGACCAGTCCTTGTTTTAGCCCCTAAATGTCGAGCGCCAGACAGGGTAACAACAAGTACCATCTTTTAACGTCTTTTGGTATGACGCGGCCGGGGATCGAACCCCGGACCTTCCGCACTCCGGGCGGACGCTCTACCACTAGACCACGGAGGCGGTCATTCACCACAAGTGATTTGTGTTGCATCTGTTGTGATTACCGTTCTGCTTCCTTTGTTTCGCTGCTCCCATTGGCAAACTGAATGGATTCTGTTGAGATGGTTGTTGCTGCCCGCCTCCATACTGACCCAGAGGACCTTGACCTTGACCTTGATTCTGACCTTGACCTTGATTCTGACCTTGCCCCTGACCTTGTCCTTGTCCCATCGCTGCAGACATTCCCAAAGCACTAGGCTGTCCCCATCCGGTCCGACCCCATCCAGACCCACCCCACTGTGATCCTCCCCATTGTGGCTGTCTTGGGGTCATAAACTGACCTTGACTTGTGAATGCTGGCAGATTTTGCGGGTTCCTCATACCAAACTGATACTGATTTGTCTGTTGTTGCATGTTGTGTGTTTGTGATGGCTGCATGAATCCTCTGTTGCCCATCATGTTAAACATGGACTGTTGCTGTTGCTGTTGCTGTTGTTGCTGCTTTTGTTTTTGAAGTTGAAGTTGTTGCTGTTGTTGAAAATAGTTCATTTGTGTGTTTCCAAATGGGAAACGCTGAGATGTCTGTTGATTAGGAATTGTTTGTTTCTGTGTTGCCTGGCTTTGAGCTGCTTGCTGGTTGGTATTCGGCGTCTGGCTTTGAGCTGCCTGTTGGTTGGTATACGGTGTCTGGCTTTGAGCTGCTTGCTGGTTGGTATACGACGTCTGGCTTTGAGCTGCCTGTTGGTTGGTATACGGTGTCTGGCTTTGAGCTGCCTGTTGGTTGGTATACGGTGTTTGGCTTTGAGTTGCCTGTTGGTTGGTATACGGATTCTGGCTTTGAGCTGCCTGTTGGTTTGTATACGGTGTCTGGCTTTGAGTTGCCTGTTGGTTGGTATACGGCTTCTGGCTTTGAGCTGCCTGTTGGTTTGTATACGGTGTCTGGCTTTGAGCTGCTTGCTGGTTGGTATACGGTGTCTGGCTTTGAGTTGCCTGTTGGTTGGTATACGGTGTCTGGCTTTGAGCTGCTTGCTGGTTGGTATACGGTGTCTGGCTTTGAGCTGCCTGTTGGTTGGTATACGGCGTCTGGCTTTGAGCTGCCTGTTGGTTGGTATATGATGTCTGGCTTTGTGTTGTTTGAGTTTGAGCTGCCTGTTGGTTGGTATATGATGCCTGGCTAGGATTTGTTTGTTGGTTGGAAGTTGTGCCCGTTAGTTGAGCGGTTTGGCTAGTTTGTTGCGATGGGACTGGAGCAGCGTAAGGAAGCAGCTGAGAGGTTGTGCGTGTGGTTAGAGTCGATCCTCCATAGGGGATGGCTTGAGTATTACGTGTAGCCCCTTGAACATCACCTGTTGATGGAGCCTGTGAAATAATTGGCATTCCAGATGACATAGCCTGAGTCCTTGTCTGAGCATTGCTGAGAAGGTTGAAGAGTTGACTGGTCAAATCAGTCATAGTTGAAGGCATGTTAGCAGCCTGACCTGATGTCCGTGTCTGAACTTGGGGGTTGGTGCCAGGAGTCTGGGCAGTTGTGCCTACACAAATATAACAAAAAAATCATTAAATATATGCGTCGCCGAACTAAAAGTCGTAATGAAATATTCAACGTAAAATCCTCACATGGATCATAATGTATACAGCTTCTTACAAACACAGAAGAATGTACACTAAAACCTCGTTAATCATATAGTGTTCACAGCGATGTCATCCTTATTACCAATGTCACATTAACGAATTATGGATGTTGATCTTTGCTGCGTCAAAATATCTTGACTTTCTAAACACTGTCGTCCTAAACACAGGGTTTCCAGGACTAAGGGGTTCTAGAAAATATGGTTTCTACTTTTCACAACCTTAGAGGTAAATCGAGCATTCGCTTTCTACGAATATTTCAAAGGTCATATGACTCTTGATCAAACACTGTTTGGTCATACTTACAACATTCTCAGCCTCAGTAAAGATTTAAAAAAAATATAGTTGTAACCTCGTGGAGGACATTTCCAAATCTGACGCAAAAGTGACAAAATTATGTCTGATGGCTTATACCATATGTGCCAGTGTTTTATTGGGTAAACAATTGAATTTTGATTCATAAGCAGATATTTGTAATGATTATGGAAATGATTTTAGTTACGGTCATGTATTGTACACGGGAGTCTGTTGTTACTGAGTTCAGTGCTGAGAGATGGCCTGTGGATTTGAATAATGACTTTGATTTATCCATTGTGGCCTTACAAAATTACCGTATTCCACGTAATAAGCGCCCCGCTCTTATAAGCGCCCACGGCGATATTTGCTAATATATTGGCTAGTGAACAATCCTAATTAGCACCCCTTCCGATAGATCAATGTACACAAGACTTATTTAGTCGTGTATAATACGCACTCGTGTGTTATGCACCCTTAATTATGGGCAAATAAGTTCTGGAAGAATATATCTGGCGTATGCAAACATATCAGGCTGTCAGCATGAACAACGGAATTTACGATCTTTCAACTCTGTTTTTTTTCACCAAAATAATATTCCAATAAGAGCCCACTATTCCTAATTTTGAGAGCGCCCTAGGCGCTTATTACGTCGAATACAGTATTCACCACAAGTGAGGTGAGGTGAACATTCGTCACCACTCGCCCCTTTCCGTAACCTGCAAGAAGACTGGTCCCCTGTCGATGGATGTTATGTGCGAAAATACGACAAACCAATCAGAATGCGCGTATGGTTTCAAGTTCTTCGTCAAAGAATCCCTCAGAAATAATTTTTGATTTTACATATGTCTTGTATCTAAAAATATACCCAAGACACAGTTAAATGTGTTCAATCATACTGTATAATTCCGCATGTCCCGATGTGCTTTAAATTGCATCTGAAATATATATAATATATGGGGAAATATATGTGAACCATTACGCAACGAATTGACAGTTGTTTTAGGTATGCCCGTTTGCGCTTAGACGGAACCCGGTCACAAAAATGGCCACGAGGGGGGCATAAGTCGCTATTCGGCTTGTCCCGGAATAACACGAGTTGGTCACGAATGGTGAGGTGAAATGGAAAATGATTTTAATTACGGTCATGTATCGTACACAGGAGCGTGTTGTTACTCGTGCATGTACCGTTGCATGACCCTTGTCCTATTTCCGATCTGACTTCAGTGCTGACAGATGGCCCGCGGATTTCAGGTAGTTCCATCATGCTAGTACGTGAACGCGGTCCCTAGGGGTCACGAGCGTGATCCAGCTGACACGTACAGTCATCACGCCGGCCATAGCTGTCACGTTTCTGTCCTGTTATATATCATTGCGACGCAACTGTCAGCGATGCCTACTTATTATACATATAACAGCGATAAGTCTCACAATACACTATGACCGTATTATACATGCAGTCTATAAATGGACCATTATTTTAGTTGTGTGACACGTTAAGGCTACAAAAATAATACTATTCTATGCTGGAATTAAGACTATCATGCAATGTGCCCTTGTCCTTTATAGACTACCCAGAAGTTGCGAAAACGGATATCTTGATTTGCATTCTGAATGATACCGTAATAAAGTATATAGTTCTTAGTTATGCTTCTGAAGTATTTCAGCAAAATAAAGGCTCTAAACTCTGTTAAGTGGGATATACAGTAAACTACGTTTATACCGAACACGCTTATAACGAACTGACGGATATAACGAACATATTTTTGGTCCCTGCCATTTGCTGTAAATATGCTTATAACGAACTACGGTTATATCGAACTAAAATCAGTGGTTCCTTTGAGTTCGTTATAACTGTAGTTTACTGAACCAGCATCTCGTCGATCTAAATACATGACACTTTTATGAAAAATAATGTCTTTGTGAGGACATTTCAGACCCACTTCTTGCCCCATCCTCAAGAGGTTATTCATAAAAAAGTGACATGTATTCATGTTCTTTCAACTCCTAAATGCATACGAACTCCTTCATCTCGTCCATCTGCAGAACAAAAGCGCCATTTGGGGCGACAGGGGTGTCGTAGAACACATTCTGTCGTCATCAACACATCAGTGAGTTAAATCAGCATTGTTTCAGCCATTTATCGACGAGAACTGAATCCATCAAAATTATATACAGAAGCAATTTGTCCAACAGAACTAAATGGAATATACTTTTGTTGCCAATACCACGAGCATATTGTAAACACCTCATGACCGCTTTGAGTGAATATATTTAGGATGTACAGTAAATCCTATACTATCCTATACTATCCTCATTACTGAGATGGGGCACGGGTGGGCCAGTCGTCTAAGGCGCCGCGTCCCTTAGGCACGCCAGAAACCTATGATTGTGGGTTTGAATCCCGGTTCGCCCCGATTAAGTTTCTAGGTTTGTCAGCACCATACCCGTGCTCGTGGGTTTCACCGAAGTGGTAAACGTCTGAGAACTGCATCACTTTGGGCTTTCCTCCCACATTAAGCTGACACCCCGTGATATGACTGGAATACTGTTAAAAGCGCCGTTAAACCCAACTCACTCACTCATTACTGAGAACGTTTTCCCACGCATGGCTAACAAACCTTATGTTATGTATTTAGTATCATATTTTACCTTTATATATAAGAAAAGGAAAGCAGGCCTACAAAAACATTTTTTCTCTATCTTTCAGATTTGAAAGCCAAATGCTAAGATTTCAAATGATATAAAGATTATGTGAATAAACTTTTTAACAACAATCTTCATAAAGTCCATATTTTCATTTACATAAGGTTTTTTTAAGTACAAGAAAAACCTTTCAGTCTAGATCTGTTTATATTTGTTGAAGACTAATAATAAATACCAACATGTATTAGCCTCGTGGCGTTTATTAATTGTATACGCTGTATACAAAGGAGTTTTTCTTATTTTGTTTCAGGTGTTGTCTGGTGTTGACGTTTTCTGCATATGTCCTTGTCCTTGATAGGATGATAATTGAAGGTTATATAAAGTACTTCTGACAGATGCGTCTCATAAGCGTCTCCGAACAAAAAAGTCATCTGAGTGTCATAGCGTTCTTTTTACAGAGACATGTGTCATTCACCTAAAGCTAAAAAAAGCAACCATAAATCTGATAAAAATCGTGATTCTCAGCTTAACATTTTACAGCGATTTATGATAGCATACAGAGGGAAGTACGTGTGTGAGATCCATCGGCACTTAATTATAATATGTTATAATATTGTTGTTGTTGTTGTTGTTGTTGTTGTTGTTGTTGTTAGCTGCAAATATTGGAAAGATCAACAGGGTATCTAACATTAAGCATTTGCTCTACTCCAATGGCTTCGGTAATATTTGGGGAACATCAATCTGTCGGTAACGTTCTGACATTTATTTGAGAATTTACATTTCGATTAAAGTCCTCCAATATGCAAAATTGCCATGACGCCCTTCAAACAGTTCAAAAACTATAATTATTCTCTGCATCAAGAGTCATTTGTATTAGAAATGTATCTAAATATAATTAATATTTTTAAATTGAGACATTGCCTTGCAAAACTGAGATACAGATTCCATCAGATAAGAATTGAAACCGGACTGCAGACAACCAAGTGAGTGAGTGAGTGAGTTTGGTTTAACGCCGCTTTTAACATTATTCCAGTTATATCACGGGGTGTCAGCCTTATGTGGGAGAAAAGCCCGAAGTGATGCAGGTCTCAGACGTTTACCACTTCGGTGAAACCCACGAGCACGGGTATGGTGCTGACAAACCTAGAAACATAATGGGGGCGAACCGGGATTCGAACCCACAATCATAGGTTTCTGGCGTGCCCAAGGGACGCAACTCTGCACAGCGAAACGCGGCACCTTAGACGACTGGCCCACCCGTGCCCCCTGCAGACAACTAAGAGGGGAGTGTATGTTTACTGTGTACCAACATGTACATAGAGGATCGGTACCATTTTATCCTTGGTTGTGACAGATAGCAATCCACCAGGAACTGTTATACACATCAACATTCTGTGTCAATCATTCTACAGTAAAATACGGTTATAACGAACACGCTTATAACGAACTGACGGATATAACGAACTAACTTTTTTGTCCCTTAAATTTGCTGTAGTAATGCTGTATATATGCTTATAACAAAAGTCGGTTATAACGAACTAAAATTAGTGGTCCCTTTCAGTTCGTTATAACCGTACTTTACTGTATACATAAATCTAATATGCTCATGCCTAGTAAAAATGAGAATTTAATTTTTTTTTTAAATTTAAAAATTTAAAGAATTGTGCAATGAGTGTACAGTAAACTACGGTTATAACGAACACGCTTATAACGAACTGACGGATATAACGAACTTACTTTTTGGTCCCGACTATTTGCTGTAGTTATGCTGTATATATGCTTATAACGAACTACGGTTATAACGAACTAAAATTAGTAGTCCCTTTGAGTTCGTTATAACCGTACTTTACTGTATATAAGTCTACAAAATAACATGGTCTCTCTGATATGGAACACTGGCCTACACACCTTTGTGAATAAAACAGATTAATATAGGCCTGTCACAGCCTTCGCCAACAGCAACACAAGAACACAGGCCTCTGTGCCGACAAGGTAAGAAATATGTGAAAGATAAAATCATCATTCACCATTATGGCGGTAAGTAAAAGCAATAAATAAGGCTATATTTATGTTAGCCATGATGGATGTTGGTTCCCATAAACAAATATTTCCACAGAAAGCGTGACGTTTCTCCGCATGACGTATCCCCTCACGGTACACGTGTGACAGGGTTAAGTACTGTTGACCAATTGAGGATCCGTACCAGCAGCGGATCCTGGCACGGTCAAGGGACGCAACTTTAGATATACACACAGGGTACATTGACATTTACGAGGAAACAAATCAATCGATGCAAAACATTTGTTTCCGAGATCAAAAAGATAATACATCTTTTATACATACACCTGACTGTTTGACAATCTACAAGTTGTTTGATTGCATGTAGCAACTTTTCGATGAAGATTCTGACATCGTTATCAAGATGGAGAGCCGGACTCTAGCTTGATAATGGTGTGAGAATCTACATCAAATCATCGCTGCATGCGATTAACCAGAAGTTGTTAGATATTAAGTTGTATGTTTTTATTATATAAACCTGCTTTTCATTCCAGATTCATTTGCAAGAATTGAACATGCGGATCCCGCCACACTATATGTAAGTGAATAAACACGCTGCTTTCATGGGTTAAGAAATAAGCGGGGATGATACACAGATGCTATTTAAAAATCATTTACGTATATGAATGCGCGTTCCTATAAAGATCGCTTCTTATGATTTGCAATGGAATCTATTTCGATGGATATTCGAGACTGATTTTTCGCGTTTTATAGTTACATCAAACATTCAATTGCATGGCCCATTGTTGAGGTGTTGTTTCGTCAAACAGAAAACCCAGGATCGAATCCCCACATGTGTAGCTCATTCATGGTGTTCCAAGCCATTGACATTGACACTGATTGAGGCGGTGCATGTTCATTTATCATGGAGACTAGCATCGACCAATCAATCAGACACATCACGATTTCTGTTGATTCACACCTCCTATTATGTAGGGCAATGTCATGGCCCATGAACGTCAATCATTTGTTCAAACTTCGTTCAGAGTAAATACTCAATTTTGTTTACCGTGACATGTGACTTTACTGTAAAGTGAATACTATGAGGTCCTATTGAACGTTTACTGTTCTAACATTTACAGTAGATGCTCAATTCAGTTTCTCTGTTGTACTTCAACCGCTTTAAATCACGCATGCGCAGCTGTATGCCTGAGTTGAAGGAAATGTCTATGAATGACAGTTGTAAATATATATCAGTTACAATATATAAAAGACGTTTCGAGAATAGGTCACGAGATACAGGTATTACAGACAGTTTATAGTGAATGAATAGTGTAGGCCCGGTGTTTGGCCTTTGAGTGAGTGAGTGAGTTTGGATTTACGCCGCTTTTAGCAATATTCCAGCAATATCAAGGCGGTGGCCACCAGAAATGGGCTTCACACTTTGTACCCATGTCGGGAATCGAACCCGGGTGTTATTCGTGACGAGCGAACGCTTTAACCACTAGGCTGTCCCACTGCCAGTTGACATTTAGATGTTTCGAGCAGGCGATTCTATATTGTACTTATTGTCATTTTAAGAAAGATAATAAAGAAAAACGTACGAAAAGTTACCACTGTCGAGAGACTTCAGTGACGTCATCCTATTGGTTTTGACGTAGTGTTAACACATTGTGTAATACCAAAACGCGTGCGTATGTACTCTCGGAACAAGTTTCACGAACAAATATCGAAAGCTCTTAACATCCCTTGGCTTATTCAACGACATTGTGTGTGGAGATGATAGATCACTGGGAGGAGCTTATGCACACTCGAAGACCCCAGCAACCTTGTTGCTAGGCTGACGTCACATGGCATTGTTTCGCCGATGGATCTTGCAACAAAATTACACAAATTACGTCATCGGGTATTGTGACGTGATTGTAAACTTTGAGGTGCAAGGCCCCGTTCCACAAGACGATCGTATTGTAGCGCAACGACAGTCGTTAGTCTAACTTAAAGTATGTAAGTTGCGATAGCCTTAGCGCTACGATAATTTTGTGGGACGGACGCGCCTGAATTCTAAAGGTGGACTATTGTATGATATTAAATTCATACGTTTCAACTTTTGACGTGTTTGAAGTATTATTCTGTTTGACTATGCCATGGACCGTGTAGGTGTCAGCCTATTCACACTCAACAGTATAATTCTAAGAACATTATAAATGGCAAGTAATAAATAAAATACTAAACTCGCTCCCGTGTAAAACCAATTTTATGAAACTCGTGAATAGTTGTGGTATCTGACTCGCTTTCGCTCGTCAGATACCAGAACTATTCACTCGTTTCATAAAATTGGTATTACACGGGAGCTAGTTTAGTATTCTATATATCGCTTCAAAAGGCACTGACAATGACTAACGTACCTGTGCAATATGGGACGTGTACTGCTCTCAATGTTGTGTGAATTAAACTTTCACAATCAGTGAACGTGATTGAGGACAAATTCTTCTAACTTAGATTTTCCTCTCCCAGCTGGTATTAACAAACTTCAAAATTCAATATATACTCCCCGACAAAAGAAACGCGGATACCATACATGTTGGTTAATGTATGAAGAATTACTCATATTCAAGAGATATTAGATTAGTTCGATGCACAAACGAACATACTAGTATGTTGTGTGAACTGACACTCATGAACGCACCACATGTGACGTCATAGATCCATGCCTCGAGATGCACCATTTGTCTCGTGCAGGATAAGCGTGTAAAGTTGAGAAATCACGTGTAGCATATCGTGATAAGAAAAAAGACACTCTGTGGCAACACTTGTCTGATTGTTAGTTTTGTCATTAAGTTTATATATGTGAGGATATCTCGCTATAGGACCGTGTGATCAAAGAAACGTGTGTTTGATATATCTTAATTCTCAACGTCATAAAACTATCGGGACATGAGACAATGACGTCATAATTAGCACAACACACACTTGCGTTTGCCTTGAAGCAATTAACGGGCTATGGTAAAGCGGGGATGAGTTTCCACGTTACTACAAACTGCATGTCTTCGTTAAATTGACTCAAGATATAAGTCGTTATAGGGCCGGTGATGTTTAACATGACAGATCAATATGTGTTCTTGTCGGGACGTTAGTAGTAGGTTAGTATAAGTTATGATACTGATGGAAATAGGTTTTTTTTCTTCTTTTATTTTTTATTTAACGACCCGCTCTGCAAACTTACAGCTAAATGACGGCGGTCTCAAAATAATCGAATCTGGACCAGATAATTTAGTGATTGGCATCATGTGAATAGTTCTACGCAATTGGGATTGTTATTATTGTTGTTGTTGTTGTTGTTGTTATTATTATTATTATTATTATTTAATTATTATTATTATTATTTTTTATCATCTGTATTCATATCGCTAAGAAATTAACACATAATGTATGATCTTTGTGCTGTGGTGTGTCTATCACAGTCTATATTGAAATGCCAAGCAGAACTCAACACGATTAACAAAAAACAAAAAAAATGAAAGTAAAAGCGTGTAAGTAGACAGGCATGTTCGTAAAATGCATAGAAGCGTAACACGCTTTCACAAAAAAATAATAATACACCATTACACTTGTCAGTAAAATACAGACACGTAATTCCAAAAAACGTCAATCATAAATAATCCATGTCATCCTTACCTGCAAGCACAAGCAGCCCTATAACAATCCGAAACATTTTTTTCTTTGTAATCCACGGAAATGGTGTCTCGTCTGAGCCAGGTTTTCTGTAGGATCTCTGCTAAACCACTACCCCAAGTTGCAGACGGTGTACACCAGTGTAAATATACCCGTCTCGCAGCCGAAACCACGCCCCCTGTTGTCGTGGTGGTATAAAGCAAGGACGGACATTTATATGTCATATGTCCATCACAGGACACATCAATCTCCGTCGTGAAATGTACACTACATGAAATGTACAACGCTCTGTTCTCAACGGCGGCGTGTCTGTTGACGGGAAGGGTCGCATTCCTGTTCTGACGTAATGGATTTCGTCCTGTTTCATTGTTGTGTGTGTCTCATAAAGATAACTAGGAGACTCGCAGATGCTTTATGATATCATATGAAAATTCACGTTTCTTAAACTCCTTCACACAAAGGTTAAAGGATATGTACTTGAAGAACTGGTGTCAAAATATATATTTATTCAGTCCATTTCTGTATTTTACAACGTTAAAAATACACAGTAATGCGGAACAGTATCATCTGATAGTGTTAAAAAAATAAACATGCTGTATAAAAATGTAGTTATTCTTTACATGAATTTGACAGAAGTTGACCATATATTGATATGCCAACGAATTGAAGAACATGTTCACTGTGTGACCTTAGATTAGTGACCCGTGAAGATCCGGGGTAGAATAGTTCTTCAGCAACCCATGCTTGCTGTAAAAGGCGACTATGCTTGTCATAAGAGGCAACTAACGGGATCGGGTAGTCAGGCTCGCTGGCTTTGGTTGATGCAAGTCATCGTATCCCAATTGCGTGGATCGATGCCCATGATGTCAGTCACTGGATTGTCTGGTCCACACTCAATTTTTTACAGACCGCCGTCATATAGCTGGAATATTACTGAGTGCGGTCTTAAACAACAAACAAACTTATCTGTTTCAGTTTTTAGTTTCTAGTTGCTTGTCTTTTCGATGAGAAATAAGAACATCCCATCTAAATATATGAAAAGATTAGTCTTTTTAAAATATTTTAATGCACTAATGTAAGTAACAAATATGTCCATGTATTTGTAAAATGTACAAACATATCTATGTACATGTACTATAAGGCATTTTATTATTCAGTATTACATATACATGGTACTATAGGCCTCCTAAGAACGGGGAGCGGTTGGGTAGCCTGATGGTTAAAGCGTTCACTCGTCACGCCGAAGGCCAGGGTTCGATTCGCCACATGGGTACAATGTGTGAAGCTCATTTCCGGTGCCGGCCGCTGTGATATTGCTGGGATTTTGCTAAAAGCGGCGTAAAACCATATTCACTCACCAACTCAAAGTACGGAAATATATCAATAGTTGGTTTGTTTGTTTGTTGTTTAACGCCGCATTTAGCAATATTTCAGCTATATGACGGCGGTCTGTAAATAATCGAATCTGGACCAGACAATCCAGTGATTGACATCATGAGCATCGATCCACGCACTTGGAATCGATGACATGCATCAACCAAGTCAGGGTGTCGAAATATGCATCTGTTCACCCAGCTGTGAATGGGTACCCGGTAGAACGAGGTTGTAATGTGACTCAACCTTGCGCTTCATATCCTCCTAAAGGAGTTCAGAATGAAATTGGAGGCCTGGGTAATAATAATTGAGAATTATTATTACGAGCATTCTCTTTGGAATAGAATCTGACGTATACTATTGTGTGTTTGTTGTTTAACGCCGGGCGTCACTTTTGACTTGGTTGATGCATGTCATCGTATCCCAATTGCGTGGATCGATGCCCATAGTGTCAGTCACTGGATTGTCTGGTCCAAACTCGATTATTTACAGACCGCCGTCATATAGCTGCAATATTGCTGAGTGCGGCGTTAAACAACCAACCAAATAACCAACCAACCACTAACTCACTGACGTTGCAAAAAGATCATTCAACTTAAGGTACATGTATAGTGCACTTTTTCCCCTACGGCGTGATACTGAAGCCGCACCTGACACGTGTGTCGTACAAGTCTGACCTCGTTTTATTGTTTTGGTTTTATAAACGTGACATGACCATGGTCATAGCTGGAAGGTCACAAAGTAACAATCATAAAAAATAACGAGAAAGTTATTTAGAAACTAGATTGGCACTATATTTAACCAAACAAGCACGTCCAGCGATAGATCAGACCGGGTCTCATGGTTAAGGTCGCGATGCACTGTTTCATAGAGCGGCATACGACTCTTCCTCAGTAGTTGTTTGATCAAGGCTACAACATTCAAGGCCTCAGTAAAGCTTTCAAACTGTTTTATGGTAGACATGTGGTGGACATTTCCAAATTTGACGCATCGGTGACAAAAATTATGTCCGAGGCAATTACCTATTTCACTTATACCACGTGTTCGCGTGTTTTTCAGGTGAACAATTGACTTGCCTTTGCATGTGTTTTTGACGGGTGATTTAGGTGGGGCAGGATACGCTCACCTTTTTGCGAACACCTGGTATCATTACTATTTAATAGTGATCCATAAACACATGCTCATGATATAATGATGGTTTACGCAGAGATTTCAAGTGGACATGGAAAGGATTTTGACGCTTTATTTACCATAAAACCTACAGACTGATAATCTGTGGATGTTTGTTTCCTATTTGCTTATTTAACGCCGTACTCAACTGTACGGCGGTGCTTTGTAAATAATCGGGTGGTGGCCAATCTTTCCAGTTGGTTGGTTGGTTGGTTTGTTGTTTAACGCCGCACTCAGCAATATTCCAGCTATATGACGGCGGTCTGTAAATAATCGAGTCTGGACCAGACAATCCAGTGATTGATATCATGAGCATCGATCCACGCAATTGGGATCGATGACATGTATCAACCAAGTCAGTGAGCCTGACCCCCCGATCCCGTTTGTCGCCTTTTACGACAAGCATAGTCACCTTTTACGGCAAGCATGGGTTGCTGAAGACCTATTCTACCCCGGAATCTTCACGGGTCTAAAAGTGATAAATACTCGATTGAAACTACCGGGCAAAAAAAATATACGATTAAAAATTAGATTTGATTAAAAAAATTCAAACGCTGCTAGGCTGAAAAGAGTGTCCGAAACGCTGAAAACCTAAGGCCCAAAGCCCTACTAAGATACCCTTATGAAATACACCACATGAAACAATCGTTTCCTGTTTGTTTCATTTTTAGCCACCATCAAACAAGGGCATCCCTCTATGCTTTCTTTAGCCCGATAAATTTATGACACACAATCAAGTAAGTCCTCGAGCCTGACAGCCCATTACGTGGCCTCTTACGGGAGATGAGGATGCAAGCTTATCAAACACGGAACATGATAAAGAACAATAGAAGATCATAAACATCGCAGCACGACAAAGCACTAGAAGGATGGGTTGCATCACCCGGATCCCTGGCATAGTATTAGCATTGTTGCCTCGGAAGTAATTGATTAATGAAACAATAAATTCAATCAAGGATTACAATGGACATTTGCTCAACCCAACGCCAGGGGCAATGAGATTAGTGGCGCTTTGTGTAGACGGTTGACTGCTTCTATGTCTGTGCCTCCCTCCCTTGCTCTACCTTTAGAATCGATCTTCAGCAACCCTTGCTTGTCGAAAGAGGCAACTAACGGGATCGGGGGTCTGGTCCGGAGACTCGGTTCATGAATGTCACCGTATCGCAATTGTTTTGTTTGTTTGTTTGTTTGTTGTTTAACGCCGCACTCATCCAAGTTGTATGACGGTTGTCTGCAAATAATCGAGTCTGGACCGGGCAACCCAGTGATTGACATCATGAGCATCGATCCACGTAATTGGGATACGAGGAAGTCAGCGAGCCTGACCACCCGATCCCGTTAGTCGCCTCTTACGACATCATAGTCGCCTTTCACGGCAAGCATGGGTTGCTGAAGACCTATTCTACCCCGGATCTTCACGGGTCTGCTTAGATCGATGTTCATCATATCAGTCACTGGATTGTCTGGTCCAGACTGGATTATTTTTTTTATTATTTTTTTTTTTTATTGATCCCAGAGTGGGAGATTAATACAGTATTCCGTCAAAAACATATTGCGGATAGCACAGAATGGCACAATACACCCATCAAAACATTAAAGGGTTGGAAACAAACATTGTCCTATTTCAAACCAAAAACGGTTGCAACACACAATCAGACCATTTTTGTTGTTAAAGTTACTTTTTCCCAATAAAACTACATGATTGATTAAAGTATTAGAGTAGTTAGAACCAAACCAAATAAGATATTTCGTCAATCTAATTTTTTGTGGAAGATAATTATTAAGCCAAAGTTCAATATCATTCCAAAATTGTTTAGTTTCATTACATTCCCAAAAGACATGGCTAATTTCTTCATTGACAGGACCCGTGAAGATCCGGGGTAGAATAGGTCTTCAGCAACCCATGCTTGTCGTAAAAGGTGACTATCCTTGTCGCAAAAGGCGACTAACGGGATCGGGTGGTCAGGCTCACTGACTTGGTTGATGCAAGTCATCGATCCCAATTGCGTGGATCGATGCTCATGATATCAATCAATGGATTGTCTGGTCCAGACTCGATTATTTCACAGACCGCCGTTCTATAGCTGGAATATTGTTGAGTGCGGCCAACCAACCAACCAACCGTCTTTCTATGCCCTGTAAGATAGAAGAGGATATTATAAATGCGTTTTCATAAATGTTATACCATAATAATGTGTTGGCAGATGAGCAAAACGGTTTCCCCTGACAACCCCCGTGATATGCACGACTATAGAACTTACAGCCCAAGGATCATATTCAGTGCCAATCTGGGATTCGAACCCAAGGTCATAGAATCAAAGCGCGCCTGATGGACGTAAGTCTCCACTTTAGACGACTCAGCATCCGGGACTTTGCTGTGCTGCTACATAAAACTGACACGCCGAAAATACGCTCCAGTGACGTAAAACTCACTGTGTCACTCCATTCGCGACGCAATAAGCTGGGGTATTAGTGGTTTAGCCTGATGGATTTCAGTGGAAATCATTAAAGTTTCTAGTTCCCTCATAAAAAAATTCCGGGGTAGAATAGGTCTTCAGCAACCCATACTGGCCGTAAAAGGCGACTATGCTTGCCGTAAAAGGCGACTAACGGGATCAGGTGGTCAGGCTCGCTGACTGGGTTGATACACGTCATCGGTCCTAATTGCGTAGATCGATGTTCATGATGT